CAGCGTTAACCTCCAGTTTTGTTACAACTAAAGACTTGTCAAGAAGCACTGCTCCAGAGAGATCAGTGTCCACATTTCTCACTCTGTTATCTCTTTAGTATCTCCTTATGTTCCTATTATATAAAGGTGCTGGTTCAAGCTCATTCATGGTCTGATGACTGTTTCAGGTCATAGTATGACCCTGGGGGTGATGATGCTGGAAAACATGGCCTCTTCTGCCTCAGTGAGCAACATAGAAAAACGACAGAGTGTGTAACCAAAGGCTCATTTGTAGTTACTGTAGTTGTTGTTACATAAACATAGCATACTGTACAAACATAGGGACAGTTACCACAGTTAAGAGACACATACAAATGCAATAATGTAGGCCCTAAGGGTTGTTTTAAAGTAATATCAGGTCTTATCTAGATGCTGGCACGAATGTGGATGTACTTACCTGAATTATGATTCTAAAGGCGTTTTCATGGCTTCAACGTGGTGTCACCAAACAATCCACTTCTTCGCTTGTTTGTGGATTTCATATCAATTAAAAAACGGAAACTAATGTTTCACGATCTGTTTCAAAATGCGCGGAGATGCTTTGATGAAGTTGAAGGCAGCCCGTGTTGCAGTCATCACATAAGTTCAGAGAGCTGCTTCTGGTCCGTACCGTCATCAGCCCCTCGCCACCAAACAAACAAAGTAGCCCAGCTTGAGTTGGGCGCAACGTTGAGGGTAAAAAAAATCTCCAAACTGCTGTCTCGGGACCGTTAGTTACACTGGGGGTCAGAGTACCGACAAACTGTCCGAGCACCACGGAGTGAAAACCTGTTCCGAAAGCTGAAAAGGAGCAAAAAATAACTACAAACGTTCACATGAAAGACGTCAAACTCTCCCACGAAACAACTCATACAATAATAGGTAAACTACCCACGGAAGGAGAGACGAAACGGGCTGATTCCCGTTTGCAGCTTGTCATTCCGACACCCCCCACCTCTCGCCTCCATCTGCTGGGAGGAGCGTGTTGTTGTCACCGGGTCTCGAGGGGTGAATTTGCACGCTAATCTCCCACCGGTTGTTTTCCTGAATACTGGTCGCTCTCGTTGCGTGTTTGTTCCTCTCCTAAACTTTTACAGACGCCCCCTTGGTGTTTTAAAGCATTATCTTCCAATATAAAAAGCCGAGAAGCTCCATAAACTCCTTCGTGCAACTGTGACGTCACGCGCGGAGCGACCAGAGTTGGTTTAAATCTGTTCACGTGAACCCATTTTTAAAAAGCTCGGCAGTGCGTGATGTCAGCCAGCAGGTGCAAGTTTTGGAAGGGCAGACTTTGAAACATTTAATAATTCAGATGAGACAGTTCTTTGTATTTGTTGTGGCCAGTTTAAGCTAAAGATTAGATCATATCTGTCCTGATTTAGATAGATCATTCATTGTCCGGCTTTGCCCTCTTTGGTCATTGAACGTCTCATTTAATCTGATTTTGGCTTTGTAATTATCCTTTGTAATCACAGTTATTAACTTGGTCAAGTTTGCAAATCTTTTGTGAAAACTTGCATCCCATTTTTAAACATGGGCATGTCTTTAATGACTTTCTGTTCTTTTTATGTATCTTCTTTTCTTGTTACGAAGCTCCCCTGCTTTGAATGAATATTTCATCCCATATATCCCTGGCCAACTTTGTATTTTTAGTGATGGATGAATCATGAAAATGACAACAACAACAAAAAACGCAACAAAGTGTTTGGATGTGTCTTGCAATCATCTTCCCTTTGTAAGATACCTTATTAGAGACAAATAACTAAAACTAAACAACAAAAGAGATGCCCTCTGAACATTAAGGCTACTTATTGGATTGGCCCTGCTTTCTTTGCAAATTGTCAACAAAAGTTATATATTTATCACAGCCAAAATAAAACTAATCTAATGAACAGTTGCTCACAAAGTTAAATATCAATTTGTTATGTCCTTTTAAATTCAGTGAATTTTAGTAATGCATTCATTTTTGTTGTGTTTCTTTCCCTTTTAAAAATTCAACTTCACCCCAGCACAAGGGGGAATTGCTAAGGTTGAATGCTACCTGAAT